TATGATTAGTAGTAAAATTATTTCACATGGTTTGAATTGGGAGTTCTTACATGCCATACTTTGTAGTGTAGAACATAGTTTACCTTCTGCTATTCAACCCCTTATTCTGTCCCCCCTACTACTGCTCCCTAACTGCTACCACCCTTCTACTGCTCCCCCTCTTCTCTTATTATGTTTTATATTTTACTGTGTTATTGACTTGTTATTAAGCAAAATTCTGATTGGAAAATGTTACTCATATATTCTTAGGCGCATCAAACTTTCTGTTTCTAAACTTGCACTTGTAAGTCATGCTTTATGTGAAAAGAGGAACTCTTTGAGTTATTGGCTACAAGTTGGCATGTTTAAATGTATGTTAAAGAACTGTCGGAAACACATTTGGATTCACTTCTTTTCTGACAAAGCTGAATTGTATGTTTTTTAGATTTGCTACCTTTTCAACTTAACCAAGTTATAATACATTTCCTCTTCTATATTTGATCCCGTTGAGAAGTATATATCTTTGATAATTCCTGCATATAAGGAAGAGCACAGACATCCAAGTGCACTTCAGGAAACTATTAAGTAAGTTTGTCTAGAATACAATGGCAAAATAAGATCCTTCAATATTCTCTTTGTCTGTCTATTACCTCTTTTGTTAGTACCTTGAATTTGATATTTCTTACATACTGTGTTTTGGAAAACCTGTGTGTCCCCCAAAAGATATTTGCTATTCATCTCTGTTTTTCCTAACGTTGTAATTATGTATATGTTGGTGACAAGTTACATAGAAAATGATTTAAAACATATGATAAACCTATTAGCTCAAATGGTAGAGCACTATGCAAATGCATAGAGGATGTAGGTTCAATTCCTACATAGGTTATCTTTATAAACAAAATTAATTAAAAAAAAAATCAAATTTGTACTAAATTATATGAGCAAAAAAATGGTTTGAAATGATTTATAACTATATAAAATTTGTTACAATTAAACTCTCATACAAACTTGTGTCTCCACATTACATAAATGAACCTACGTGGGATTCAAACCTACATCTTTTGTGCATTTGCACAATGCTCTACCCTTGAGCTAGTAGGCTAACGTATTTAAAACATTCAAACACACTCACAAATGAGCATTAATTTGACAAAATGAGCAAGAATCATTTGCTCATTTGACAAATGATCATTAAATAGTTTGCTTATTTGACAAATGAGCAAAAATTAATTGCTCATTTTGACAAATTATTTGCTCATTTTTGACAAATTAGTAAAGAATAAATATTAATTTTTGACAAAATGAGCCAAAATTATCTGCTCATTTGACAAATGAGCAAATACTTAGTTGCTAATGTAACAAATGAGCGAAAACTTAGTTGCTCATTTGTCAAATAAGCAATTAATTTTCTTGCTCATTTGTGAAATGAGCAACCATGATCATTTAATTTGGGAAATGGGCAATCAATTTTTTTTCTCATTTAGTAAATGAGCAACTGAGCAAATAGTTAGTTGCTCATTTCACTAGTAGAAAAAATGAATTACGCAGCGAAAACCGGTGGGATAAGATAGGGATTTGTTAAACATCGCCCACAAATTACTACATAAAGCCCACAAAATTCACTTGGTTTCCCAAAATTGCCCTTGACCTTAAAAAAAAAACACTCACACTCTCATCACTCACACTCTCATCACTCACACTCTCATTGCTAATCTTCTTTCAACCTCTCTAAAAAAAAAAATTCAAAATAACGGCAATGTCGAGGCGGCAAGGCAAGGAAGTGGCGGCGGCGGCGGAGGGAAGGATGTCCCAAGGTGGAAAGGTATATTTTGTTTAAAAAAAAAAAAAAAAAAAAAGGGGAAAACCGCCGTGAACGCGGTGGGGCGCCCTGGCTGGACGCCCAGCCGGCGGTGGTGGCGCCAGATGCAGACGCCGCCACCAGTTGGCTGGCGCCTGGGCTGGACGCCACCGCCACGGTTGTGGCGTTTAGTCTAAGCGCCGCAGCCGTGGTAGTGGCGTCCAGCCCAAACGCCAGCCAACTGGTGGCGGCGTCTGCATCTGGCGCCACCACCGCCGGCTGGGCGTCCAGCCAGGGCGCCCCCCCCAATTTTTTTTTTTTTTTTTTTTTTTAATTTTTTTAAAAAATTGTTTTTAATTTTTTTTTTTTTTTTTTTTTTTTTTTTTTTTTTGTAATATAATTTTGAATTTTTTTTATATTTTGTTGTTTATTTTTATAAATTTTTTCAATTTCGTTGTATGTTTTCTACGTTTATATTTTGTTTACTATTATTTGTTTGTTTTTAGTGTATTTGATTTGCGATGATGATTATTTATCGTATAAATTTTTGTATGTTTATATATTTTAAAATTTTGTGTAGGGTCGTCATGGTGGGGGGAAGAATATAGAGCTTCTTAGTAGAAGTTATTCAGTGGAGAGGTCGGGGCATAGACATGTCAGATCCCGTGGTATTTCGGCCTCAGTTCGTAGAGAACGGATCCACCGTCGGGATGAGGATGACGATGACGATGATGATGCTGAGGAGGGTGACCAGGAGGAGGAGCAGGAGGAGGGCGCAGATGAGGATGAGGATGTGGACGATGGCAGTGGACCGTATGATGATTACGGTCCATTCAGTCAGAGGGTTGATGACATGTACGAGACGCATATGGTGGAGGTGCGTAAGGGTAGGGGTGGTAGGTTTGTTAGTAGATCTGGCACATCATCTGCGTCCACTGTCTCTGGGGCAAGCAGGAAACGGTCGAGGGCGGGTAATGATTCTTGGGTTATTAGGAGTGAGGTGCCCGGTGGGCCTGTTGACGGGAGTGTGATTCCTAGCTTTCTAGGACACATAGCTGCCCGTATTTGGGAGGACCAGGAGAGGCCTTCAGTTACGGGGTTGTTGAAATGTCATACCCGGGAAAAGACTTGTAGTTTTTTGCGTACATGGGCTGAGGCTTGGCCGGCGGAGAGCGAGATGTTCGAGCGACTGGAGGGCACTGGGGTGAAGCACGTTCCTGCCACCATGCACGATAAGATTGACAGTACGCTGATCACGGCTTTCATTGAGCGATGGCAGCCGGATACAAACTCTTTTCACCTTCCGTTCGGTGAGATGACGATCATGTTACATGACGTCGAGGCCATTCTGGGGATTCGTGTTGAGGGTAAACGACTTTGTGCTGTGGCTGATGCGGATCAGGCAGATTCGCTGGCAGAGTTGTTGGCGGTGGACAGGGCTGCATTGTACACCGAGGCGCTAGGTGTTTGGGAACACGGAGGTGTGAAGATCGCATCCGTGTTGCAGCGGTGTTTGTACCCGAGTGCACGTAGGACGCCCGGGAATACATGTTGCAGCCGTCTCATCCCTGATGATTGCATGACCAATCAGAAAGTTCTGGTTCGTTGGAGTCATCCCAACCATCTCAACCAGAGGGAACTTGTACTTGTTTGTCTTGTACGTTGAGTCGATCAAAATCACAAATGGCCAAGACTTGATCATATCAGCACAATCAGGATGCACAAGGAAAAGATGAGTCACCTCCGCTGTATCTTCATCAGAATCAAACCAGAACAGGTAACCACGTGATTGTGCCTGGTGTAGCAGCTGCTGTATAGGGTTCCTTCCCTCTGACCGTTCAAACCTGAGTTGCTGTCTGACGTTGTAGATGTGTCTTCGGTTTGGATGGTCTTCCGGAAATTTCTCTAACACAGATGCTAATATTTTAGCAGGCTTCACTTGAGCATCACTCATTTCTTTCACAACTAGTTTCGCAGCAGGACTTAAGCCGCTCAGTTGTCGATGACCCTCTTCATATACTATCATCTCATGGTTGTGATACCCCCATTTAGAGTAACCTATCACTTCCCAACCGTCACGACTCCGTAGTTGTCGAACCTTTACTCTGAACTCACACCCACAACCTTTCCGCTTTGTGTCAAACCGAGTGGCTGTACGAAAATCTCTTTCTTCTCTTTTGCGATAACGGTCACATCTCAAAATGCGATCCATTCTACCATCCCGTTGAGATTTATGAGTTGCTACTACCAAGCAAAATCCAGCTGCAATTGCAACCTGTTTTGCCCAATCAATCGCCTGTTGAGCTTCTTCGAATGGACCATCATGTCCAAATATCTCACTGTAATCATTTCCGTCTCCACCATATTCCTGCATCAATTATATATTACAATAAATACATTTAACGGATAATACATTTAATTTCTATATTTCCACATAATTAACACAAAAAAAAACATAATTATATATAATCAAACTTAATTTTTATAAAAACCCAATTCGAATTTTCAAACTAAATTTAAAAATATACCATTTCGAATTTTCAAATTTAATTTTAAAAAAACCTATTTCGAATTTTCAAATTTAATTTACAAAAAACCCATTTCGAATTTTTTTAAAAAATCATTTTCGATTTTTTATTTTCACAAAAAAATTAAATAAAAAACAACAACAAAATCAAAAAGGAAAAAATAAAAATTAATTATTAAAGGTGGCGTCTGCCAGGGCTGCCACACCCACTGGACTGGCGCCTGGCAGGGCCGCCTCACCCAGTGGAGTGGCGTCTGCCCAGGACGCCAGTCTGGTGGTCTGGGCGTTTGGGCTGGACGCCACTCTGGTGGTCTGAGCGTCTAGCCTGGACGCCACTCTGGTGGTTCTGGCGTCCGGCTTGGACGTCCAGGCTACGGTTTGGGCGTCCACCCTAGGCGCCGTAGCCACTACGACGGTAAACCGTGAATTTTAGCGGTCACTTACCTCGTTTTCCGTCGACGACGACGTATCTCCGGCGTCCCCCGCATCTCCGGCCTGCCATCCGGTCTCCCCCGACGAGCCAATACGGCTCCACATTTTTTACACCGAGATTATCTCAATTTTAGCAAAAGGGCATAATGGTCAAATCATAACATATTTGTGGGCTTTATATGGTAATTTGTGGGCGATGTTTAGCGTTTCACATAAGGTATGGGCAGGATTGGGGAAAATACTTTTCCCACCGGTTCCTAATAAACCGGTGCGAAATCATATTTTCCCCACTGGTTCAAACCGGTTTGAAATTTAAAACAAAAAAACGGGCTGCGTGTTCTTCCTTTCTTTCTTCTTCTTTCTTTCTTTCCCCCTACTTTTCCATCTCCTGTTTTCCTCTCATTTTTGCCTTCTCTTCAACCGTCTCGAATTTCCCCTCCATTGAAGCAGCACCTCCTTCTCTCTTCATTGAAGCAGCACCTCCTTCTCTCTCCATTGAAGTTATTTACAAGCTCTCTCACTCCATTGAAGCAGCACCTCAATCTCTCTCCATATCTCTGGCCTCCATGATTGCGAATGAACTCGTTGTGCTCTATATTCTCCATTGAAGCCAATTCTGAGCTTTCTCACCTCCATTGAAGCAGCTTCGAGGTAAAATTTTTCTTGTGGTCTACTTAATCCCTCGAATTCATTCGCAATCTAGGGTTTGTCGTTGATTTGCTTTTCAATTTAGTAATTTTAGGGTTGTGGTAATCTAGGGTTTGTCATTGAAGCGCGCACGGCTCTACCTCCACCACAATGGCCTCCTTATCACGGCGGCAGGGCCTTCTTTTTCTAGGGTTTATCGTCAATTCCCCCCTTTTTCTTTGATCTTTTTTGTTTGATATTTTTTTTTATTATTGAAGATTTCTTGTGTACTGTGTGTGTTAGTGTGTGATTGCTGTTTGTTTTTGTTTCTTTGAGATGTACTAGTACAACTGTTAGTGTGTGATGAAACTTATAATAAATATTTTTTACTGCTCTTTCACAGCTAGCTGCTATTCTGCCATTGGCAATTGTACATACCCTGGGTAACCTCTTCACCAACATGAGTTTGAGTTTTTTAGAAAGAATTATATTGCGATGAGGATTCAATGGTTGGGTATACGATTGAGGTTTGATTTATTGTTGGAATTTTTCTGTCTTGCCTTGCTTGTTTGTTGTTAAATTATTAGTGATCAAATAGGTTGCTGTTATTTGCTTAAAGGCATGCTTATTGTTGGTGATTTCTATTTGTTTGGTGATGTGGCTGCTTCTTGACAGTTGAATTATTGGTGATAAGTTGTTGTAATACTCTTAAAGGCCTTCTGATGTGTTACTCTGTCATATTTGTCACATTTTATGCAGTTGCTTTTTCTGGATATTATGTCTTCGGTAACAAATCTACTTCTAACATACTTAAGAGCTTCCTTCCTGATAGTGGACCATCTTTGGCTCCAGATTGGGTTTTAGCACTCGCAGTCATCTTCATTCTTCTCCAGCTTTTCGCCATTGGCTTGGTAAGCTTAAGTTCCAATATTTCTAGTAAAATCATGGTGAATCCTTGATCATGAATTGGGTGGACCGTATGATAAATATTTTGGACGAGTTGACAAAAGTAGATAACTAACTGGTTGTTCCTTATAAAGTAATAGGGTAATAATAATCTTATTTTTGATGGATTGTGAATGTGATTCCATGGTTATAATAATGCAGACAGTACACTAAAGCTAATTGCTGGATGAGCTGAAGGATACTCTGGACATGTTGATGGGAAACATAGGGAAGCAAGGATGAACCATCCTAAAGGTGCTGCTGTCAATGACAGGGGAAACATATATGTTGCTGATACTGAATATGACTATTAGAGAAACTTTTGCCTATTCTATCTCTTTTGTGTAAATAATTAACAACTAATAATGATACTTCAAAACTTATCGTAGTTGATGACTAATCTTCTGTTGTTCTGGAAAATATGCAGAAATGTTGGCTGAGTTAAATAGGAGGGAAAAGGAGGCTGCTTCTACTTAAGGGTTTGAAGAAGGTAATACTACTATTTACTGGTATCACTGTGATGTTCTAGAATATATGATCTGTGCTTGATTGGACTGCATCTGTACCTTAGACCTTTGGTTAAATGAAAATGCATGGAAGCTGAGTAATGATGGTTGTAGGAGTTGTATGTAGATTTCCTTAAATTTCTCATATTAATGTTGAAGTTTAATTGGCTTCATAGTCACTGACTTGTTGTAGCTCAAAGTATTTGGGGCTTCTATGTAGGCACGAAAGCCTTGAACAAAACTCAATATGTTGTTCCTAACAGCCCCAAATCCGGAGAGATTGTTGCTTTTGTTACAATATTCACCATCTATAATTCTTCTGAAAAGAATGTTGAGAAGAGGTTATCTGGTTTAGTGACAATTGGGAATGCTTCGTACATGCAGTTGAAGAGGCCAATAGCTATCTTAGATTCATTTATTAACTTCATTCAGGCACGCATCTTCTGGATTTAAGTTATAGTAATAGTGATCATGAGTGCGTTCCATCTCAGTGTCTTGTAAAATTGGTTTAAAGCTGCTGATAATACACTTACAAATTTTAGTTGAAAACATTTGTTGCTCCTTGTATACATCATGCTTCCTCAGTCACTTCATAAAATTAAAGGTAGTTACATAAGCTAAATTTAAGCTGCTTCTTAAGCAGAATTATACAAGATTGCTGTCTGTCTATCCTTAGTACCTTTTATGATGCCAATTGAATCATTGGTGTCACGAAGCAAGGATAAGGATATTGGTGTTGGCTTAGATTCTCAGTAGTCAGGACTTCACTATCATTTATCCAATATTTGATTGGTTTGTAGCCTTATTTGATTGAAAGAGGAGGGGGGATTAAAGGTGATACTACTCCCTAAGATGATTTTCATTATAATCAGCCAGTTGCAATTGGCAAGATGGCTTAACAAAAACTAGCAGAGACACAACCTATTAATAACCACTAATATCAAAAGAACTATACCTATATCTGAAATTGTTTGCATTGCTCATTTGCTCCTAAAGTAGTCCATATGAACACTAATGAAGTTAGTGGTCTGCATTCAGTTGAAGCCATAGCTTGTTCTGCTGCATTAACTGAGCTTTGTAACAACATTAAAAGAACAGATGTGGAATTGATTCAGGGCTATTATGGCAGGGACTGACTTCCCCGACCAAGCCCAGGCCACTTCTACGATGTACTCTCAATTCAATTATCTAGATTGCAAGTGTAAATATAATAAAAAGAACTAGTGAATAGCCCGGGCGTTGGCCCGAGTTGCTATTATTGCAGACATGTGATCGATAAATTTTTTTAAAGGCTTTTTAAAACTTAAATTGTCATAATTCAATATATAATAACTCTCCGTAACAATTTATAAAAACAACTTTCAAGTAACTTGTATGTAGAGTTTTGATCCGATCAATATACAGTTCAATGCTATATTAATAAAAGCTCTAACAACACCCTATTTGATGAAGTAGTGTTATAAATTATAACTTCAATGATTGAAGTATTTTTTGATCCGACGACCGATAGTGTTCATTACTATAGTACTGAAAGGTCTATTATAAAATATTATTCTCGGCATTCTCGCTATTTGTGGTTAGCTGTTAATTAAGTTATTTGTCAAAGTAAGTTGCATTGTTTGATATACAATATTGAAAAAATTAGCTATGTGTTAAAGTACTACGTAGTATAAGTAATTCAAGCAACTTGTAGAGTTTTGATCCAATCAATAATAATTCATTACTATACTACAGAGTAATCTGATTATATATATATATATATATATCTGTCTTTCAATATTTATGTTATAGGTTTACTTATATTTTATGCGCTTATGGTCTTATCTATGCTTTTCTGGTGCATTCTCACCGTTTATCTGCTAGTACTAAACCAGATTGCAATGTAAACACACGAGTTGTAATTAATTAAGAACGATTGTAACGATAAGTTGTTTATAATTTGAGCTAAGCAGGAACTTGATTGAATGTGTCAAATGGATTACAAAACATGACTTGAGGCCATGAGTCTCCCAGTAGCTTGAGGCTACAACTCTCTGTGTTTTCCTTACAATTTTCTGAACGCCTTTTCCCTCCCCCCAGCCTTAGCTTAAGTACTACAATCTGTTGTCCCTTACATTCCCAAAAGAAATACAACAAAAGTAACAAAAAGAGAGCCCAAAGTCTTCTTTCCTAATTAGTGAAATAGTTGCTTCCTTTGTTGTCTTGCTCAAAATGGGTTCTTCTAAAAAGTAGCCTTGTTTCTTGATTGTTGTTGCTTACTACCCCGTGTTGCTGCTGCCTGCACTTCTGTTGAATGGTTGCTTCCCCTCACAGATCAATGAGTATATCTCTATTATACTTCTCTCTTGTATACTTGTCAAAACTTGTTTTCAGAATGTGTTCTATGTTTCTGACATCAGTTGTATAAAGAGAGGCGGGAAAGGAAGAGGCATATTGCTCTGTTCCTCTCTATCTCTCATGTTAGGGCAGGGGATAATAATTTGCGGGAGAAATAGGGTTGGATAGAGGCATTTACTTTCTAGAGTAGCCATCGATATCATAACCTATATAAATACAATTGTATGTGTATCTCTAGGCCTTTTTTAGTGTATCTAATGTTGTTTGATGGTTTGATAAATGGTTTTTCTATATTCTTCTTTCCTTTTCCCCTTCTTTTTCTTTTGTATGGAAGAATTTTTTTTAGTTATTGACGTTGAGTTTTCCAGCATACAGAAGGTATTACTTATTAGTACGTAGATCACCCTGATGCCCAAAAGAAAACCTTAATGTGGTTTTGTTTCAATTTTTCAACAAGTAGATTATGTGATATTTTGATCTTATTCAGGTTGTTACAGTTCCAGAGGATAAAGGAACTACTGGAGCTCTTCGTGCTATTTCACGTTACTTGACTGCCAGCGACATTTTGGTAAGCATCCTATATACTGTTTATTGGAACAGTACTATAAATTTAACTGTATTCCAGTAGTCATTAGTCTTGTGACAGTCTTTTGCTGCAGTCTGAGATCTACATTAGTTTTCTGTTGAAATGACTAATACCCTATTGTTATATTGTGTATGGTTTTTTTGTTAGTATAATATTGTTTCCCTATGCTGTTGAAATTTATGATTATATAACTTGGATGTTTTACTTTTTGATGACAGGCATTGAGCATAGTTTCAGCAATGTGTATCCTCGTGGTTCGGGCTATAATTGTTCAAATTGCTTTGTATTTGTGTGTGACCTTGTATTTTATTTTTTTTGGACGAAAATTGTAATATTACGGCTTTTTTTAATGAAAATATGTAACTTTATATATATGTTAGTGTTTATATATCAATTTAAGTGAAAAAAATGCCAAACAAAAAAAATTATTTTTTTGGGCATTTTTAGCACCGGTTTTTACTTCGAACCGGTGCTAAAAGTTTTTTTTAAATTTTTTTTGGGGACTTTTAGCACCGGTTCTAAGTAAAAACCGGTGCGAAAAGTGCAGTTTTTGCCACCGGTTCTCCCAAAGAACCAGTGCGAAAAGTCATTTTCCCATCGGTTTTGAACCGGTGCGAAATCTATGGGGTTTTAGCACCCCCCAAATTCGGACCGGTTCAAAACCGGTGCGAAATGGGGGGTTTGAACCGGTGGGGAATTCGTATTTTCACCTAGTGTTTGTTAAATGAGCAAATACTTATTTGTTAATTTAACAAATGAGCAAAAACTTAGTTATTCATTTGTCAAATGAGCAAGTAGTTAGTTGCTCATTTGTCAAATAAGCAAATACTTATTTGTTAATTTAACAAATGAGCAAAAACTTAGTTGTTCATTTGTCAAATGAGCAAGTAGTTAGTTGCTCATTTATCAAATGAGCAAACATTTCTTTAATCATTCATTAAATCAACAAGCATTTCTTTGCTCATTTGTGAGATGAGCAAACATTTCTTTGCTCATTTGTGAAATTAGCAAACATTAGTTTGCTCATTTGTGAAATGAGCAAACATTTCTTTGCTCATTTGTGAAATTAGCAAACATTAGTTTGCTCATTTGTCAAATGAGCAAATAATTAGTTACTCATTTGTAAAATAAGCAAACATTTCTTTGATCATTTGGGAAATGAGCAATCAATTTATTTTTTGGCCTTTGTCTCATCATGAACTTTTTTACATTTTGGTGTATTTTGAGGAATTATGATGATTATTTCAAGATAAAAATCATAACCACAACTGGACATATATTTCTAGTAGAATCAAAATTCAGATCCTAGCACTTCAATCATAACATCATGTAACCAAGTAACCAATGTGTCTCAGGTAAAAAGGAAATTATATGTACCTTTTGTGTCTTTAGTCTTGCTTTAATGGTGTCCACAAGATTTAATGTGGTTACAGGCGCTTTTTGCAATACAACTCTAATTTCCTCTTCTGAGACAGGGCCCTGGGCAAGTGTGCCTAAAGTGGAAAAGAACCCTCAAGGACCACAACCACACTACCTTCCACAGCCAAAACGGAAAAAGCTACCATTCTTAAGAGCAGAAAAGTATTATTACAGACTTACAACTTTAAGATCTGTTACAATGTTCCTATTAACATCACACCTTTGAGCTAAATGTAGGCTATTTTCATATAATAGTAGTGTCTGATACATGATTGTGCCTGAATGCCTAACACAAGAGTCTGAGTAACATGCTTCATTACATTTTTAGTGGGGTGCACACCAAACTAAGACGACAAAATACAATGGATTCAGTTGTTCATTCCCCTTCAAATTTCATTTACTTTGGTAATGAATAATTGAAAACTATACGGTACACTTTTAGCTAAAAATTAATCGGATGCACCACCGATTTCTCTTTTGTACCTTCTCATTCCTTTGAATCTCTGACCTTTTTTTTTTTTTTTTTTTTTAATTCTATTCCAATCTCTGTATTAATTGTTAGAATCATAGTACCTAACTAGAGTTATTCGACAATGGCCATATACAATAAATCAGTGACACAGAGATCGAGTAAACTAACCATGTAATAGTTGTGTACACTGCCACCCTTCTGAAAAAAACGAGCAACAACATAAGTAACATCTTGGACAGGTCTGTGAGGATCCACGTCGCTAAATGTTTTGAACCTAGAGCAGAAGTCAAATTAAATAGTCCGTTCAATCATGAACTTATTTGTAACGAGATGCTTAAAAATCTAAAAACTTGGAAAGCTCAAGATCTTGAAAGGCAACTCAAAAAACATGTTAGCAAAGTTACCATCCAGGCCAGTTCTCAGTCCAAATCTTCGGACTTTTGGAAGGAATTGGAGCGAGTAAAGTCGTCATAGTAGAATCCATTACAAGTACTTATCTGCAAATAATTAGCATGGTCACATAAACTATGGCTCATTGATGATTGATTTTTGTTAAGTTCCTACAAAAATCATTAAACAAGACAAAAAACCGCAAGCATATGAATGGGAAACCTGTGTAAACTTAATGTGATGGTATTAAAGCGTACAATTTCTACCACAAGCAAGAAACATCCTTTACACAAGTTGACCTATATAATTCTCCCAAAAAGGAGAAGTGTTTTACTCGCAACATTTACATAATCAGTTAATAAAAAATAAAAAAAATAATAGTAATGGTTATGCGTAAAATAAAATAAAAAAGGGTGAGACATCTCTCTGCTTATTCCTTTTTTGGTTTTTGGGAAGTAGAGGGACACAAGAAGATATAGAAAGTCAGAAACACCTCAAATGAAGCAACACCTTTCATATTATTATTTCTGAAAGGAAGTAGTGATAGATCCTGGAGTTTCAATTATCATTAAAAACAATCAAGAAATCCAATAATGAGCCATGTATATAGGATGTAATGGAAGAGGAAATCATTTTGGGGATCAACAGAACCACCCACAATGCCCAAAGGGATGATTAGATCAAGACACTATAACACAACATAATAAGCAGACGCAGATGGACAGACATGAAACACAACTAGACAAGATCAGCAAAATAGTTCAAGAAGTAGTTATATGTTTGCAGCTATGTCACATGAGAAGGTTTAGATAATAAACCTTTCCTAGAAAAATACATGGGAAGCAAAGAAATCACAGAATTCACACATGGAAAATGAACCTGCATATCCAAATATTCCCACCATAGGATCAGGTGTATCTCACTGCTGGCACATTATCCAAGGCACACCTATGTTCTGAGAAAGGGCCATATTGGCAGCCCACAAGGCATATTTCTTCCCTCCATCTCTATATGATTGTTCATAATAACCATCCCTACAAGAAAAAGAAAAATAATACCAAGTATTACATGAATACTGTAGATGTATGAATTGACATTACAAGAAGGAAAACAAAACCAATAGAGCCACAAAGAACTTGTAAAACAAAAGCAAAAAGTTCTCAAATGCAAGAAAACACTATATATAAAAGAAGTTTTGTAGAACAGAACCAACTCACTACCAGAAGTGCTCTATAATCCTATATCACTTAACTTCTAAAATATACAAATGCTTTGTAAGAACAGAAAAATATAGCTTTTGAACTAAGTTCTGCTTTACTTGCTACTTCTAACACTTCCACATTTTTCTATGCAGTGCAACATCCATTTCAGGACTTGCTTAAACAATATTTAATTTGAATGTACCCGAGCCTTGATGATCTGACCTCCTTGTGATGCAAAAAGCTTCTCCCTCTTCATCAGGTCCACTATGTATGTCGTGAACTTCTTCATGTAATACTGCTTAGGACAACCACCAACACAGAAAAGTTAAAGATTCATGCTAAACATTTTGGCAATTGAACGAGTATAAAACATTAAGAAACCAGAAAAATGAACAAAATTAAATCAAGATCTCATAAAATTGCTTCGTACTATCATCACATGATACAAACTACTAAAAATCACATAAAAACAAAGTAAAATTCCCAAAATCTAGGGGTGGGACTTCGGTCTGGCGGTTCGGTTTGACCTCGGTTTGAGTCGGTTTTGGTTTGGAGTGGTTCGGATTGAAACGGTTTAGTTTAGCTGGCGGGTCGGTTTGGTTCGGTTTGGGTTAGTCACGGCTCGGTTTGGTTTCGGTTTATTTCATTACGGTTTAAATTCGGTTTGGGTCATAAGCAGGTCGGTTTATAAACGATTCAGATCATGCCGGTTCGGTTTGATACGGGTCAGTTTAGGGGGCGGGTTTACCCGGGTCAATGTCAGTTCGGTTTACAAAGGGTTTGGATCAAGCCGGTTTGGTTTGAAATGGGTCGGTTTAGGGGCGGGTTTACCCGGGTCAATGTCGGTTCGGTTTATAAACGGTGCGAATCATGTCGATTCAGTTTGAAATGGGCTGGTTTAGGGGAGGGTTTACCCAGTTCAATTGGTACGGTTTATGAACGATTTGGATCATGCTGGTTCGATTTATAAGCGGTTTGGGTCATGAATTCATGATTGTTTTAAAGATCGCGTCATGACCATGATTTAATGAGTTGATACATAGAATACGATAAATCGATAATTAAGAAAGTACAAGTATTCAATTAGATCGATAAACAAGTGTTTTAAACTTTTAAGTTTTAATAATCAGATATGTTTATTGATTATACGTACATACCAATGATTCAATGAGGCAATGATAGTATGATACCAATCGTACATTCGTACCATATGATATACATAATACATATACATTAACAATATCGTATTGAATCAATTTCAATTTCCAAACATTTGCATTTCTTATAATTTATAAGTTACACGAGATTAAAAGGATTAGTTATTTAGTTTGTTACTTTATTTAGATTACTAACTCAAACAACTTGATAAGTTAAATGGACGAAATCACGAAATCACTATGCAATACTAATGTACAAATAGTCAAATATACAACGATTAGATTGAATGCCCATGAAAAACAACAGTTATATTTCATTACTTTATTAGTTATTATTCTTATTACTTATTAAGTTATTAGTTTATTACATATAAAGTCACAGACTCACAGATATATTCATATATAAAGTTAATTAGTTATATACATATAGAGATGTCAGATATTGATGTACATTAACTATGTCGTATTGAATCAATTTCAATTTTGAAACATTTGCGTTTCTTACAATTTATAAGTAATAAACTAATAATAATAATAATAATAATAATAATAATAACAATAATAATAATAATTATTGTTATTATTATTATTATTATTATAGTAATAATAGTAGTAGTAATAATAATAATATTAACAAAAAATTATACTAACAATAATAATAATAACAATAATAATAACAATAATAATAACAACAATAATAA